TATGTTTCTTGTTTTTGGTTTTAAAAAAAAAGAAACTGAAAATAAAAAATGATGTCAAACAAACCCGTACTTTTTTATTTTATTTTATTTTTTTTATATTTATCCTCTCACATTCATTACTTTTCAATAAATTATTACTCCGCTTTCTTTAACAATTTAAATACTCTAACTACCCATTTACTTCTTATTTTATTTAAATCAATTAAATTGCCTAAAACCATGTGTCGGTCAAAGTGTAACATTTATTAAAATACGGAAGGAAGTACATATTTTCCTTCGTTAATGTTAACTGCCAAAGATTAAATTTTGTGACATAAAGGGCCTATTCACTCCATATTAATTTCAGTTAAGTTCAATTCAGTTAAGCTCTAATCAGTTCAGTTCAGTTCAGCTCCTAATTTCCTTCTCTTAGAAAAACATTCATTTCAACCCTATTCAGTTCAGTTTAGCTTCAATCAGTTCAATTTAGTTCAACTCAGTTTAGTAAATGTGAACAGGTCCAAAGTTAAGTCGAAACAACTTTCAAACATGACCAATTAGTCTAGGATGCATCCTAATGTAGCTAGGATAGCTGCAACAAGGCCTACCCAGCCAGATGGCACACAAACCTCCATAAAATGTGAGGCCCAGAATAAATTTTCTTCCTTCAACTGCTATAGTTTTATTTCAAAACATTAAAATAAAAAACTGTCAATTCATTTTTCTATGTCTCCAACTTCTCCCAACTTCTTTAATTAAACACACTTCATTTCCTCTCTCCTCTTATAATTTTCTCTCTCTATAAAACTAAAAACTGTCATGGATATTTGAAAAGAGCTCAAAAATCAACCAAATTTTCTTGGAGGTTTGTGGGTCTATTGGAATAATACTAATATAACTATGAAAAGTATTGACCTTAAAGAGAGATGTACTCATTTGTTAGTAAATTTTAAGTCTTTAAATAAGATATGGTTATCATAGGGGTTTATTGTCCTGTGCAAGAAGCTGACAAACCTTTGTTTTAGGAATTATTTAACCTCATATGGTATTAATACAACTCTTCCGTGGCTTGTCCTTGGTGATTCTAATGAGATGCTATTTCACTCAAATAAGCTAGGAGGTAGAGCACTTACTAGTCAGCAACTCCAACGTCTACCGGCTTTACTTGCTAGCACTAATTCCATTGAGGTACCTTGCACTCAAAATGCTTTTTCATGGAAGCAATGCCACAATGACAAAGTAATATATGAAAGGTTGGATAGAGCCGTCTCCAACCATTCTTTTAATCTAGTTTTTCCTAATTGCTTATCGTCGTATGAGACCTTCACGGTATTGGATCATGCCCCTCTTCTTTTTGACTCACGTCTCAACCTCGCTACTTTTACGCCAAGAACAATTTGTTTTCAAAATTTCCGGACTTTAGATGTAGAATCTCACGCCATAATTAAAAAAGTGTGGCCCTACCCTATTCAAGGGTCTCGTTTCTATCGCATTCAGCAAAAACTTTCTCAAATTAAAGCTGAACTTAAATCGTGGGCCAAGAAGCGATATGGCAATAATAGGAATAAATTATTAGCTAACGAAGAAAAAGTCAAACAACTTGAGCAGGCTCTTCAGCTCCAGCCTTTTAACCCGATCCTAGTTAGTCATATCAACAGACTAATCCGTTAATGAGAAAAGCTTCTCTTATTTGGCCAGCGGTATTGGGGCGCCTTAAGTAGAAAATATTGGCTAGTTCAAGGAGATAGAAATACTCGCTTTTTCCAAAATCGCATGCGAAAATAAATAGCCTCCACGACCATTCACAGGCTTCGAAATGAGGATAATGATTGGGTTTGATGATTCGAACATCGCGACATTAAAAAAGCTCCTTCGGGATTCTTTCCATTTTCGTTTCAACTCAACTCACTCTACGACAAGGCACCTTGATCTTTCTTTCATCGAACCCATAACCTCAAATGAGGATTGTAGCTCTCTCCTCTTTCTCGTCACCCAATTAGAAATAAAAAACGCTTTCTTTGATATGAACCCTAACAAAGCCCCTGGTTCAGATGGTTTTGGGGCAAAGTTTTTCCAGTCCTACTAGAACATCATTGAAAAGGATGTTACCCTTGCAATCCAGAGTTTCTTTCCCATGACCATTTGCTCCCATCTTTGAACCACACTATTATTTCTCTAATTCCAAAAATCGAGCAACCTGAATTGCCTAACCATTTTCGCCCCATTAGCTTCGCAAACGCAGTTTATAAAGCCATTTCTAAAATATTGGTTACCCGTTTATGCCCAATTCTAAAAAAACAATTAGCCCGCTGCAAAATGCTTTCATGCCAGGTCGTTCTATTCATGATAACATACTTATTGTTCAGAAAGTACTAAATACTTTTCAAAAGTCGAAGAATAAAACGAGATGATGTGCACTAAAATTAGACATGGAAAACGCCTACGACAGGATCGAGTGGGAATATCTCTAGGAGTGCCTTAAAGCTTTTGGATTTCCCGATCAATGGATTAATTGGATTAAAGAATGTGCTACTACTATGTCGTATTCTCTCAAAATAAATGGGGAAACGACCGAATGGTTTAAGCCTTCTCGAGGTTTGCGGCAAGGGGATCGTTTATATCCTTATTTATTTATTCTATTCTATGTATGGAGGTAGTGATCAGGAAATTAAACTCTCTTTAGAAAGCTAGGATCGTAAATCTGGAATTGGTTTTAAAACTTGTCCAAGATTGTTTAATATTCCTTGCTTGCTATTCGTTAATGATAGCCTTGTCTTTTGCAACGCCACCTCTTCGGCTTGTCGTAACCTAAAAAAGTGTTAATAAGTTTTATGGGTATCTGGTCAGCTAGTAAATTTCCATAAATCATCTATTATCTTCTCCAAGAACGTTGCTAATAATCGAAAAGCGAGCTTAGCTGCCAACTTTAACATGATGTCAAAGGCTTCCCTAGGTAAATACTTAGGGGTGCATTTTAGTTCTTATCATCCAACTAAACGTGATTTTAAGAATGTTGTAGAAAAAATAGAGCAGTGTATCCAACATTGGGAAGCAGGCTACCTCTCCAAAGCCGGTAGACATACACTTTTTCAAAGCAACCTAGAGGCTCTACCCTCTTATTTGTGCTCCTCATCGCTTCTTCCTGTAGAAGTTGCAAAGAACATAAACTCCATTCATCGAAATTTCTTTTTGAGGCAAGACAAGGACAAGAATAGCATTCCCTTTATCTCTTGGGATAAGGTGTGCAGACCAAAGGATTTTGGGGGTTTAGGCTTACGGTGTACTCTACCGCTTAACAAGGCCGCTTTCATAGCAAAGTTGGGTTGGAAAATAGTTTCGGACCCGACCAACCTATGGGTTCAGATTGTTAGAGATGAATACCTTCATAATGCTTCCTTTTTTAATACACACCAAGTGTCAAAGACTCCCTTATTTGGCATAAGATCCTAGCCCAGCGAGATATTTTGAGAAAGGGCATTCGTTGGAAAAATTGGGAATGGACAAGGTATCTTTTTTTGGATTGACAATTGGGTCACACACCAAATCTTACTTGAACTCCTACATATGGACCCTAACCTTGTAGATATGGACACCAGGGTGTCTGATTTTATCTTTGATAAGAATCAATATGATCGCCAGAAACTCAGAGTTGTTCTTCCCTCTCATATTGTCTCTCAAATTATTGGGATCCCCTTGCCCTCCATCCTGACAAGAGATAGTTCAGTTTGGGGTCTTACTCCATCAGGAAACTTCTCAGTTAAAACAGCCACATGGCTAGCTCATGATCCCAACCTGGATGACTCCAAATGGACCCATTGTTGGATTTGGAGACGAGATATTCCACCAAAACTCCAAATCTTCCTATGGCAAATCTTGCATAATAGTATTAATACCCGTGACATTCTCCATAAGTGACGGATAGCCCCTTGTGGTACCTGTATTCTCTGCAATATTCTAAGTGAAACAATAAACCATCTCGTCCTTACGTGCTATCGCATTAAAGATGTTTGGAATCATTCTTTGGTTAGACAATGGCTAGGTTGTACTATTCCCTGCAATGATTTAATAGAGGCATTTATGTTTCTTAAACAACACAAAATAACTACAAAGAAATTTATATTCCTCATTTGGAGTATTTGGAAGGAACGAAACTCCATTATCTTCAGGCAAGACTTCTTTGATATACTGAGAATTTACCACCGAGCGCATATTGCGTTCATCGAGTGGCATTATAGAACTCTCAGAGATACCTTTTTCTCCTCGGTGTCTCCTATCCAGAGGCTCCCCTTTCTTATCTACCCATCCTCCTCCACCTAATCCCATTTTGGTTTCTTAGGAAGCATCACCCCTCAATTTCCACAAACTTAACTTTGACGGTTCGGTTCTCAACAACTCAGCAACAGTAGGAATCATCATCAGAGACAACAACGGGATTTCTTCAGGAGCACGTATCTTCAATCTTAACAGCACCAAAGTCTTCATTGCTGAGGCGATAGCTCTTCACAAAGGTATTCTTTTGGCCCTTGAGCTTGGGATAAAAAATATTCAAATCGAGGGCGATAATCTCCTAGTCATCAACTCTCTCAAAGGCACTTGGTCAACCCCCTGGCAGATTCAGCTCATAATTAAAGACATTTGCGCTCTTCTCATCAAAAATGAAAGTTGGAGCATACGACATATCTTTCAAGAGGCAAATCGGGTAGCTGATTGAATAGCTAATGTCAGTCATTTAGTTAGTGATAGTATGGACATTACTCTTTGTAATAACTCTAGTCTTTCTGCTATTCTCTCTTGTGATGCATTAGGAGTTCCCCTTGTGAGGAGGGTCTTCTAATGTCCTCTTTTTTCTTACCTTTAATATATATATATATATATATATATATATATATATATATATTTATATATATATATTATGCACCATACCTCCCTTAGTTTTATACAAGTACAGTATATAAAAAAAAAAGTCCAATCCAAATAAAGGTCTAGATTGAATTGGATCTCGCCCAATTTGTTTCAACCAAATGGACACCCTTAAGAAAAACCCAAAACAAAATAAAATTCTTGGATGTAGCATGTAGACTGTAGAGCAACAACTCCAGGACAAATGACAGAAGCAGAGCATTTTACGACTCAAAACTTCTACTCCTATTAAATTCCCCCTTCCCTAATTCAGCTGCTCTTCAAAGCCCTTATATCTTCTGAATACAGAAAATATCAAACCATTTCAACTTTTAATCATTGTAATTGTATTGAAGCTGAAGAACAGCATCCCCAATTATAACAAAGCAAGTATTTTAGGATTTTTTTTTAATTTGCTAATTTATTCGAATTGTATTATACCTTTTGTTTTCATGTTCAAATTTTTACTTGTTTTTGTTAGGTTAACTTTTAATTTCATGGTGTTATTGTTGATTCGAAGCTATTGCTTCATACCCATGAATTGGATTACTGGAAATAACCACTAATTTAGATTTAATTCTTGATTAGGGTATTGTTTGATGTCTATTTTTCTGTAATTATATTGGGTCTTGAGTAGTTTATGCGATTGATTGAGCTTTGAATTCATCAATTTCCTATTCCCAGGTTAAAAAAATTGTGATTATAAATTTCCCAACAATCAAACTTCATTATGTTGAGCCAATCTTGTTGCTACAAGGTTCAACAAACCCTTGAACCTTCGTGTTCTCAACCGGCGGTTCCGTGCCTTCCTCTTCAATTCAAGGTCCATATGTTCCTCCCTGTGATTTTATTGTGATATAGGTAGATAACTGCAACTGATTAATGACATGGGTTATTGAAATTTCAACAGAATTCGAACTTATTTGGATCCCAGTGTAAAGGTTTTAATCGTGCAAGACGAGGTTTTGCTCATTCAAGTTGTATCCATTCGCTCTCTTCGACTAGAGCTCGAGGTGGGTATTTCTCAATTTGTTGCTACTATTGTGGTTTCTTATTAGTCTTTGTGGTAGTGTTATCACATTGAGTTTATCACAGATGCTAATATGACCTCAGAAAATGTGAATTGTTGCAGCCTAAAATAACTATTCTGTTAAGGTTAAGCCCTCCTCTAGAAGGGCGTCAATAAAATATCTTTCTAATTAAAGCATAAGTTGTTACATATGTTCTGCATCATCATATCGAGTTATCTACTATATGCAACAGTGTTAGCGTAATATTTTTCACATTTCCTGTAAAGCTCCCTTGTCATATGTTAGCTATTTAAAAAACTACTCCGCTCAAGTATTATGCTATAGTATGTGCCGTGTAGGTCTTTTATCCCTATACTACTAACATTGTTAAAAGATTGATGATGCTTTTTAGTTCTATGTGCAAAAAGTAAGCTGCATATCCAATTTATACTTGTCAGCCATTATTCCCTAGAGAGGGACGTTTTACTTGTAGCCAAAAGATGTACGAAGTATTAAAGATTAGTAATCTAACGTCCTATTCTTATGAGGTCTATCTGTGTACTCGCAATTAGGATTTGTTTTCAGTTATTTGTTTCCTGTTCTTTTTAGGATTCTATGTTGTATCGTACTATTGTTGTTTGATTTAGTTAGGACTTTGATTGTTTCCAAAATGTTTTAAAAATCTACTCCTCCCCACCCCCAAAAAAAAAGGGCACGTGTTTTTTATTCCCTCGAATTGGGTGTTGTGTCCGACATGGTGATGGATCCTTCGACTGACTCTCTAGATGTCTAGATTTTATAAATTTTCATATAGACCACTATATATTTGGTTGTTGTATCGTGTCAAAGTGTTGGAGGATCCGACATGCGACACCTGATGTACAGCAGGCCGAGCAGGGTCTCGAAGTAACATAGGAGTAGTTTAGGCTGATTTGTTTTCATCATGCTAAGGAGTCCTAGTTTGTCTGTGTTTGCATTTGTATCCTATAAAACGCAAATCTTGTATGCATTATCTTACAGGTATGAGTTTATTAAATTGATGATGACTTCAAGAAAACCTCAGTAACTTGGAATTTTGAGATCTGCCCCTGTTACTAACCATAATTATAATTATTTAGTAAAGTTTGTCAATGGCCTAAATTCTGTATCAAGCAGATCCTAGAAATTTTCTACAAGTCAATTGTCTAGTTGCTTGATCATCTTGTGAATAGGTGAAAGGGGGAAGGGATGTTGTCTGAACTTGTCATTTTATCTGAAATATGTGTTGGTATGTCATTGTCAATGTGGTGTCTTAGTCCTTAGATTTAGCCTTCATTTCGAAGTTGTTTTGAATTATTAATAGTATAACCTGCATAGCAATAATCCAATGTTAATAATTATATCCTTTTCAATTTATTTTTAATTATTTTTTGTGCTGTCTACTGAAGCTCTCGTCCTATGACTCACTTTTGTTTTTTCTCTTCATTTCAGTGGTTAAAGCTGTTACCACTCCTAATTCAGCTCTGGAGCTTCCCCTAACTGAAGAAAATGTTGAAAGTGTACTAGATGAAGTGCGGCCATATCTAATGGCTGATGGTGGTAATGTTGCTGTGCATGAAATTGACGGAAATGTAGTTCGATTGAAATTGCAAGGAGCATGTGGATCCTGCCCCAGCTCTGTAACAACCATGAAATTGGGTATTGAGCGCCGCCTTATGGAAAAAATTCCTGAGATAGTTGCAGTGGAAGCAATTCCTGATGAAGAAACTGGCCTTGAGCTAAATGAAGACAACATAGAAAAAGGTGTGCTTACATGTTTAGTCATTTTTTTCAAGGAAGTAAATCATGAATTGATTTTTTTTTTTTTCCATTCCTGTTTGTTTCTTTTTATCTTTCATCAACTAATTGGATTAATTATACTAAAATCCTTTAGTGACTTAGAGTAGTTGAGACACACCTGAACGGCTTAAGTTAGTTTCTCTGAGATGTTTACATCAGAATTGTACCTCTTTCCTCTGGTGTTAATCTAGGGACGAAAGAATAAAGGAAATTACCAATGTTGACAAGAAATTATGATGATATAATGAGTTAATAATATGATATTCTATGGAAACAGCTAGAAAAAGAGAAATACATGCAAAGTTTGATGGAGAGCACCTGTGTGCAATCATGAACTTATTCTATTCCTTTGGGTATCTGTGATAGCACCTGTGGTCTGTTGAATGTGTTATGGACTAAGAAGGTTTAAGTTAATTTTTATGCAAGGTTATGCTGTTGCCTATGAGTGGTTGATAATGTTTTGTTTATAGTCCTTTATGTGAAGAGAATGACTTTGCACCATATGATGTTATAGTCTGAATGTTATTTTGTTCAAACATGTATATTATGACATTTGATCAGTGGGGCGAAAAGTTGATTGTATGATTGTGGCATAAATGAGACAGTTTATCACGCAGATATCTCTTTATGTCTGTCATGAGTTTACTGGATGCATCAGACACTTAGAAAATATTGATTTGACCTAGATTTGATGGCAGCAGCCAGAGATGCTCTAAGGCACCACTTAGCACACTTGATGAAAATTTGAGAGCATACCTTTTAATGTCCTTATGCTGGAACCTCCTTTTTCTGCTTTTGTATCAAGTGCTTGTAGAATTTTGCAAGTTACTTGAATCACAGAGACCACAATCACTAAAATTGTATATTTAACCCACTCTGAGGGTGTCAATACCTCTTAACCTATTTACCCTTCGCCGATATTAAAAGATGCTGTTGTTTTGCAATTTGAACTTGCACATTTAATCAGTACTCTGGCTGAAACCTGAATCCAGTAGCTTCTGCTTTAGTAGACTGATTTCACTTCCATTCGCAGATGTTCTTAATCTGGTGTTGTTTTTAATTTACATAATTGACTATGATGTTGTTCCGTTATACTTTGGGATATAAGTTAGTGCTGGGTTTTTATACCATACACGAATCTGATGCATTAGTGCTTGTTGAGATGTTTACAGAATCAGCACCCTTTTTTCATCAGAAGGAGACAGTAAAGTAGATGCTTTGAGTGGAATATAATGTACCACTGGGTAGCTCTAACTTGTCATGCTGGAAATCGGCCAATCGGGAATCACACAGATTCTTTTGTCTTATTAAGAATTAATATTTCTCATCAATTTTGATCCCTTGTAGATATATCATAAGCACATAGTTTGTCTTAAGCTAATGCCTCTTCTTGATCAAATAGGTTTGTGTTATTTGCACCTAATGAATGCCTATCTTGAATTGCTCCCAAAAGTTTTTGTTCATTGTCGGGGGTGATTTTTTTGGAATAATTAATTGAGAAAGTGCTGTGTTATTGACAGTACATGACACAACAATCTTACAAATCAGACACTTAGACAGTATACAACAGTCCATCCAACGTGGGGCACTTACAGTTGAGTGGCTTTGCCTGGTTTTAATTAAAATAGCTATTTCACTTTTAGTTTGTGCAATAGATGACTATTTTCTACATATAATTCACACTGGTGGGGGTGTTTAAGAGGATTAGTGGTTTGGGAATATGAACAAGAAGCTGATTCCCACATATCTCTTGTTTTTTATTATATAGGATTGAGATCACTTGAAAAGGTTTGGGTTGGGAACTGTGGTTTTTTTTAGGGAGGGCTAGCACTTTGTAATAAAGGAAGGGAATAGAGCTAAGTAGTGGAATGAGCATGTGGCCAAATTTTTAAATGAAAATGGAGGTTAGTTGGGAAGGAAGTTTCGGAAATTTATGTACTCGTTCTTATTTCAAACTATTCATGTCATAAATTATTATGGAGTGAATCTCTGATTACTGATTTCTACTTTCATAATTTACTTGTTTATCTTCAAATATCCATTCTCATTCCCATTTACATAATGTACCGTGGATGATAAAAATCAAGATTGTGAGGTGGTGAACTAATGCGTTAAGTTCTTGAAGAAAATCATCTGAATTATAATTTCTAATTAGTAGGTTTGACAGTGCTGGCTACACTTGATATATGCATTGGTGAAATTCACACAAATTATTGCAGGTTCTTGAAGAAATAAGGCCGTTCCTTATAGGAGCTGCTGGTGGAACTTTGGAGCTTGTTGGGATTGAAGAGCCAATCGTGAAAGTCAAAATCACAGGTCCAGCTGCCGGAGTGATGACTGTTCGAGTGGCTGTGACACAGAAATTACGCGAAAAGATCCCTTCCATTGCAGCCGTTCAACTTTTATCTTAATTTTTGATATGCATAATAATATTACAGGCTTTACAGCTATACCAAAATAGTTTTTGGTGCAAAGCTACACGCTAGATAGTGTTTGTAAGTTGTATTAGTCTTGAAGGATATGTATAATTGTACAGTGTCATTCAATTTGGTTGATCACTTAAATTTAATACAATCTATTTCATTTTAATAAATAGAAAAAAATAAATGTTCAAAATTGTATCGAACTCAAAGCTTCATGGAGTTTTTGGATCTAGTATGCAAATCCTCTACACAATATACTCGACTGGAAGTTCTAATACGTTAAGTATATGTATCAAGTTGAGTACAAGCTGAGCTGAGCTCGAGTAGGTATTAAAGTTTTCAAGTTCAAGTCGAGTTTCAAATCTCAAACTCGCGCACATCTCATATCTCTAGCTAGCACCTATAGTCTGGCCCGATTCAGTGTCATCTTTCACTATCGCAACGAGGGAGCTAAGAATCACAAGAATGTCACATGTGTCATAAATTCTGATGGCAAATAAAAGCGTGGATTGATACCCTGAAAATCTCGAAAACAATTGCATTAATTACAATTATCAATGCAAATCCAGGAACGATGACGAGTAGGGAGTAGGGACCCCTCGAATGAACCGTTGGCTAGCAACGTAGTGTGTGTCCTATCTTTAACGCCGTATCATTTCTCACCACTTTTGCACACTTCCCACCTCACCCTCACCCTCACTCACACACTTGGAGACTCGCACCATTTTCTGCAAACTCTATTAACTCACAAACAACAATTCTACTAGAGAGAGAAAATTCTCTCTGTTTCTCTCTCCTCCTATTCAAGCTTTAAGCTCATTTTAATGGCGTTTAATCTAAGCTCAACCTCCATTACTACTATGATCTGCTAAATGTGCTTTATCCTCAGAAGTGAAGAAGAACTTCTAAGCTCAGTTGCTCAGGTATTCTGTAACTTTTCGATTTTAATTTTTCGTTTTTTTTTTTGGTAATTTACAAAATTCGAACTATTGAATGCTTGCTTGCTTGCTATTTACGTTTAAGGTTACTTTAATTTGTGATGATTGCTTATTGTTGCACCCGAGTGTAATTGATTGGCGCTATACAGTTATAAATTTATAATCTATATGACTATATCCTAGCAAGATTACTCTGTGTTTTTACTAGGTACACCCGAATGTGTAATGGATAGTATATACATATTCAGCGTTTGATAAAGAGAAAAGACGAGTTTGTGAGAATAGAATAGCGAATTAGTTATACTTTGTATATTAATTCATATGATACACCCGAATATATAATCAGATTGTGATCGTGATAAAAACATAACAAAATTTTGAATGGAATAGTAGAAAAGTAGTACTCCGTACTGTAATTTGAAGTAGCTCATATGGTACTTATATTCTTGTATTTCGTACGAAGTATATGATTCCCAGATTTCGTTGACTTAATTGTAAAGATTTGGAGTACGCCCTGAAAATGCAGTACTTTTTTTTTTTTTTTTTTTAATAATATTTTTACATTACTTAAAATTTAAAATTTGAATATTTTGTGTCGGTAATTCAGACTGGTGGAATAGGTTCTAATTATGGTGATTTCATTTAATAACATGATTAATTTATTATTAATTTTATTGTATAAGACGTTAAGGAATCATTGTCAATACAAACGTCTATGTTTCATGACTTTAGCGCCTGTAGATTTTGTCTTTGAACTTCAAAGCCAAGTAGTACAACTTTTATTCTTCAAAGCTAATGATCAACAACCGTACACCATTTATTTTTTTCACTTTCGATTCGCAAATCTTTAGGGTTTTGCTAAACATAACCCCTTATTAAGTTTGGAATCTATAACAAATTTGTGAAATCGCGCGTCTATTTTGACTCTCTTTGAGTATGTTTGCTAACCCAATGGTTAAGATTGATGGCCTGTGTACAATCTTGACATATTTTAAGAGTCAAGATTTTTTTTTTTTTTTTTGAGATATTTAAGACAAATTTACGCATCCATTATTATTAATTCGACTTCCCTAAAAAAATATTGATTCAACACTTAATGGTTTTTAATTTTTTTTTATAATATTAGCTTCTTATTCAATGCATGACATTTTCTGATTATAAATATACTGTATCACTGTATGAAATATTAATTAATGAAAGTTGACGATCTGTTTGATGTGGGTACATAATTTAAGCATATATTATATGCTGTACAGGAGTTTTGGAGAGTTAGCTCGAATCATGGGGAGCACAATAATAACATAAACTTTAATATTAATTAATTATATATTATTGATTTTCTTGAAATGGTTGAGTGGTCGCTTTCTACTGTGTAAAAGATTAGCTTTGGCAATATCTGGAATGATTGGTTTGGTTTTATTATTGTTAATCCACATTGTTTAGTTTTCTTCTACAAATATGCTATGCCTTAGTTTGGCTATGTCTTCTGCTTCTGCTGTGCTGGTAATGGCATTGTTGATTCGGGTTTCTAGTTTTGGCATGCACCTTGTAATCTGCTAATAAGTCATTTCGTGGGAGTTCCATCTCTATTGCTTTGTTTTGGAAGACCAAATTGGCTTGTTCTGTCCCAAGTGCCTTCATATTAAAGCTGAGTAGGAGTCAATTATAAATGGGTTTCATTTAGCATTATATGGGATTTCTGTTGTCTGAAGATAGTGATGCATTGCTAGTAGACGACTAGTTACGATTCTGTATTCAAAAATAGCTTGCATAAAAGTGTAAACAACTGAAAGGTTTTATATTCAGGTATTGTGGACAATGTCGGTTAGTTTCTTTCATATGCTTGTTCCTGAATGGACGAGTATTAGAATATGCAGAGAAATATTCAATCATGCTTTGATTCTTTATCTGTTCCAGATATCTTGTTATTATTCCAATTGAGATGGGTCAGATATTGGTCATATGCAATAGATTTGTAAAAGTACTTAAATTTGTACTTTTTTTTGGAAGAAATTTATTGGTATTTTAATTTTAAGTGTAGAGTGTACTTTTGTGCATCTTCTAAATAGTGTTAACATGTCTTTTGTGGATGGCAATTCCTTGAAAAATATGAGTTTCTAGAGGGATTGTTGGCCAAACATGAATTTGGTTGAATTTTGTTTGACCCATATATTTATACACTTAGGAGGACTTCAGATTATTATTATTTTTTTTTTTTTTTGTAATTGCACCTGTGAATCTGATATATTTCTGAAACAAAGGTTAGAAGAAATTAATTTGGCTGACTATACATGAATTGATCAATCTTTTTGGCTAAGATGAAAGCATTACAGTTGTGAATTAAGCTCCTCCATTGGGCCATTCTTTTGGCTGATAATTGTGTAATCAATCATATAGCTGATTCCTATAACAATTCTGTGACAGATTTGGTTGTTGGAGGATTTGAAATTCAACTTATGGACATGAAATTCCAACCATACTGTATGTGAAGGTATGCACTAGCCTCCCTCTTCGATTTAAGCATACAAAAGAGAATTTCTGGGTTCTTAATGTTTAGAGAGAATCATACAGAGCCTTTTTATGTTCTGTTCATGTTCATGTTCAATTTGTATTTTCTATATGTAAGTTATTTCAGATCAAAGATGCCTTTCTTTTGTTAGTAACCATGTTCTTTTAATTTGAAAGCTTGAAACAGTATAGAAGTTGGTGTCACACTTCCATTTTTCACTTGCTAATCTACAATTTTGTCTTTATTGTCTCATAAACTTGATAAAAAGCAAAGTACATCTTCTGTTATATTTGATGCTTTTCTTGCTTGCTGTCTGATAGGGACATAGCTACTATTAGTATTAAAGTTACATTATAATGTACAATTAGCATGTCTGTTGATGATTTATTTTTTCTCTTCTGAAGTTCAACTCTATCATAGAAATTGATGAAGATCCAGCTGCAGGTCGCTATTACATCTGTTTTGTTCTTAATCTGCATTCAGCAGACAACATGTGGTTAGTACCTTAGAAACTAAAAGTCTTGAGTGTATTAGTTTATCAATGGAATTTTTCTTTTCTTACAAAGTCATTCAATTATGGTATGCAACTTTGGGGCATTTGATATAATATTTGAACTTGATGTCCAAAATACTTCTGATGTGCCTTTTCATGGTAATATATGAGCAACCCCTGACTCTACCTTTTTACCCCACTGAACCCAAATATATTTATGTAATGATCAATTATTCTGATCGCATAGTTGGCTCTTTTTTTTTTAGGGTGGGGAGTCATAATTAAAGTGTTCCGCCTATTTATTTGATTGGTCAAGATAATCCATCTTTTGATGAGTAAAATATCTGGTTATTTACCAATTGGCATATGCAATTGGATTGTGGTCTTGTGGGTGTTGCATGGCCTAGTCATTTAAAAGCACATAGATAAGGGTCTTCCTAATGCTGTTTATGTCCATACGCCTGAGGCAATTTCTGAAAAGCTACTGAATTGGTCTCTTTTTGTATTGTTTAGAGGCTTTCATGAGTCCCATCTGGTTCAGCTGTTGTTCTGGCAGGTTTCAATCAAACTTGTTGGTAAGGGTGAACTAGATGCAGAATATGAGCAGATGAGGCATACCTGAATTATCTTTTCTCTCTGGGTGCAGAACAGGTTTCAAATTCATCTGGAATTAGGTGGACCTGCACATGTTCTGCTTATCAAGAAACTCAAAGGTCCAGTAATGCAGCTAATTGCTCCACATCGTGTGATTGCCTGCCTGGTAGGTTACCACCTTATGCTATTCCTGGCTGTATATGTAAGATGGGGAAAGATGAAGATAAACCAACATACCACAAAGGATATATAATTTTTTTTTTTTTACATTTTTTTTTTATTTTTTGTTAAAATATATTATTGTATACAAAGTTTATATTTTTGGTGTCTATAAAATTCTGTTTCCTTAGCCACCGGTTCCTAAATTCTGTTAGTACTCATAAATTATTAGATCAATTGCTCATCTTTGTATTTGTTATTTTTGTAATTTTTCTTGGCGTAGTGAATGTTGGATCAACTGGAAACACTTGGACTTGTGTCTGTAATAGTGGTGAATTGCCTACTTTGGCAGCAGATGGTCAAAACAGTAACTGCTTTACAGGATGTGATTGCACCTCTGGTAATTTTCTAACCTTATGAATTTATTTTAAGAAGCTACAGCAGCTTGGTTTTTGGACTTCATAGGTTGAAAGCTTATCAAATGTAAATTGTACATCGAAATTTCAAGCTCTTGTAACATGGCCTGCATACTTAAAAAATGATCAAAAATATGTCCAATCACTGAACCAGCTAAAGATATAACCCACTGCTGCATTAAGAATTTAAGATTTCATTCTCTAGTTGGTGAAAGAAGTAAAAGCTACTTTATTGAGTATATGATCAAGGTCATTATAATACAAAATCATATATGACACACTACTGAGTCTTTTTAGCATTGTTTAGGTCACTATTTTTTTACCCCTCATTGTTTCCATCATCCACAACAACCTACACGTCATATATTCATGATTACAGGGAGAAAGATATCACATGCCTGCATTGCATGCATAACTCATTTGGCTTTATGTAATACCATATCCTCTTACCTTTAAAGACAGGAGAATTTCTAGATGACTAGAAGCTAAAAAATTGAGATTAATTTCTAAATATCTGATTGCCCTAATTCCTGATCTTTCCTCACTTCTACGATCTCAGTTGGTGATAATTTTCAGACTATTCTACCTTCCATGATTTTATTTTCTGAAAGCTATTGGATATACCATCTTTTGGAGTTTGTTGGAAAGCAGTGTGCATTTGCTTACCCTTTGTCTGGTGATATCATGACAGTGCCAATTCTAAATATCAAAGTACATGTATCTGGTTGAATGATTAAACTTCTAACTTGACACATGTTTCTAAGCGAGCCTGTGTCATGCTTACTATTATGCTTTGATGTTTCAATGTGATGGCCAATGCCCATGCCGCACGAAAATGCATGGTTAAATATCTATTTGTTCTAAATTTATTCTTTTTCCTTTTTTTTTAACAGGATCTTTTACAGCTTCTCAGGCTCCGAGCAAACACGTTTCTAACCGATTAGTAATTTCTCTCTTTGTATGCTTGGTGCTCATTACAATTTCATTAATTGTATCCCTCACCTGGTTTTTTTACCCAAGAGACAAGTGTGAGCAGAAAAAAACCTTGTCTGACAGAGGATCTAGCCTTGAAAGTACTACTGACCTGATAAAACACAAGTTTCCTTCTCAGTCTCCAGCCAGAAGCAATGTGGGTCTTATGGAAAGTCCATTTACAGGTAAACTGGTTTGGAACAAAATGTTTTCAAGCGAATTCAAAATGTGTGGAAAATTAGTTTTAGGAAATGCCCTTGAACTACCAATCCAGGTTTTTTTTTTATAAAATAAATCGAATTAACTTTGTTTTGTTCTCTTTTTTACAGGTTGGATTGGTTCCCTTTTATTCAGAAGAAAAATGAAAATAATTCATGGCACAGTCACCCATTTTACATATTCAGAGTTGGAACACGCAACAAACAAATTTTCTCATGATAATCTGATTGGAGTTGGGGGATGCAGCTATGTATATCGTGGCCATCTTAAAGATGGTAGAACTATAGCCGTGAAACGACTTAAAGCTTCCAAGGGACTAGATTCTGATTCTGAATTCTTTAAGGAGGTATAAGCTTACCTGATTTTGCAGTCTTCTGATTACCTGGTCCAATGGTGGAAGGCTTACACATAAAAAGCAATTTTTGGCCACATGTTGAACTGCTTATGCAGGTCTTGAATCGTCTAATTAGAATATTCTTGTGCAGGTTGAGATTATATCAAGACTTCACCATTGCCATATTGTGCCTTTACTTGGTTATTGCTCTATATCCTTGGGCAAACAGGTTGAGAGGCTACTCGTTTTTGAGAATTTGCCAAATGGTAACCTCAGGGATTGTCTGGATGGACAAAAGCATTTGGATTGGGATACCCGTGTTGCAATTGCCCTAGGAGCTGCCAGAGGACTAGAGTATCTTCATGATGCAGCTGCTCCAAGAATTTTGCATAGAGATGTCAAATCCACTAATATTCTTCTAGATGAAAATTGGAAAGCAAAAGTAAGAATTTGGCCAGTGTTACTTCATTTCTTCATGCACTAGCAATCTCTTGGCAATTCTTTCTTCATAAGGGTTTTGTCAGAAAAATATCTTTAGTCCTAGATGACTTGGCAAGAAATAAGAAAACAAAGAGGATGATTTTTTACTGAGCAGCAATTTTCAGAATTATGTTAGGTCAACAAAATATCCAATCAGACCATACAACCGATTGATAGACATAGACATTAGAGTAGTCTTTTGATTTTTAACCTTCGGATGACTTTTGTAGTTGTTGATGAAGCAATAGTCCTTAAGTGTTTAAAACCTTGTGATGTTAGTGTGTGACAAACATGCTAATTCTATAATTGCAGGTAACTGATCTTGGTATGGCAAAATGCTTAAGCACTGATGGGTTTCTCAGTTGTTCTTCTTCTCCTGAAAGAATACAAGGAACCTTTGGCTACTTTGCACCAGAATATGCAATTGTTGGAAAAGGTACATTGAAATCAGATGTATTCAGTTTTGGAGTTGTTCTTCTTGAGTTGATAACTGGCCGAACTCCAATTTTCAATGTATCTGATAAAGGAGATGAAAGCCTAGTCATATGGGTATGTAATCTTCTCTTCATTCCTGCATTTATTGCCAGATAATGGTGTGAATTCACCTTTGATTTACCTTTGTAAGTTTTAATTTAGTGATTCAGCTGAAAACTCATTTTGTTCTTGCAAGGAATAATGAGTTGGCACTTGAACCAAATTGAAAATTTTTAATGCTGAAAAATGCAGTGTCTGAAATTTAATTTGTGAGTAATGCCTCTGTGGTTGCTCTTGCTTTAGGCTGCTCCTCGACTACAAGATAGCAGGCGTGTAATATCAGAATTGCCTGATCCAAATCTAAAGGGTAATTTTGCGGAAGAAGAGATGCAAATAATGGCCTATTTAGCAAAGGAGTGCTTGCTTTTGGATCCTGAATGCCGACCAGGCATGAGTGAAGTTGTTCAGGTCCTCTCAACACTTGTTCCAAATGTGTCAAGGGGAAGAAGGTTTCCCACAAACCTGTTCCAGGTAGGAACTCTTGAATATTCTTTGTTTTTCAAGAGATCCAAATGAAATGTGTTAGGAAGTTGATGGTCCAGATTCATATAATTTATTTCTCAACCGACTTTCCAGTTTCTCTTTCCTACCTACTAAGATACCCATGAAGGGCTAGAAACCTAGGACCAGTTTTTCACATCCTTTCAGGCTTTAGTCCTAATTAGGATGTAGATTGTTATGGATGCCAACTGCTTAGTTGGTGACATCAAATCTGCTACAGGTTGATCAACTTAAGCATGACTGTGTTGCATTTACAAATTTAGCAGATCTATGTCCACTTTTCCACTTGTAACTTCATTCTTCAAGGTTGTTAGTGTAGAGATCAAATTTATTTTATAAATATGTCAAGTTCTTATTTCATTGATTTGATAATACATCAGTTACTTAAAGTTGTTTCTTTCTTTTGCAGAACTTGTCCTCTAACAACATGAAATGTGAGCAACCATGCATGGAAAAGTCTACCAGTCAAGTTGAGGTTCTTGTAGACTCCGAAGAACTCAAACAAATGTGTCCAAGTCGATGGTCGTCTCGATGTTCATTATCATCTGACATTGATCGTACCCTCTTAGCTGATAGCATTGGGAAGTCAGTAAATCTTTCGTCAGTTCAGTATGTCAATAGTATGCTATATTTGACATCAAGTGGAATTCATAGTACCAATGTCGATGATGATGAGATTGTGGATCTGACAGAACCTCGACTAGAGTCATTCTCTGTAGGAAACGATCAATGATCTTCAACCAGCAACAAGTGCATACCAGCAATCTTAGATGATGAAGAGCCATCCAAGGTTAGATCTGGATGGTAATTTGATATACAAAACAGGAAATTACCAGAGTTCTTACTAGAAATTGTAAAGAAGCAAATCTTTTTTATTCTGTTCTCCTTTTACTTTTTTTTTTTTTTTTTTTTTTTTTTTTTTTTTTTTTTTTTTTGTGGGAGGTTTCTGTGTTTTCTGTACGGCGAAATATTTGAAAATAGTCAATATATAAATTTGTTGCTGGTTACTTCCTGAATCCTGATTGCCGATTGGGACATCACAATATATAGGCACCCAATACAAATTCATTTTGTAAATAGAAAGAATCTCATCCTTATGTTATTGATTGATTTTTTATTTTATTTTTTTATCATCACCATCAAAAGTGTTTAGTTGATCAGCAGTATCCGGCAGAGCATGCATTACTCTGCCAGTGAAAACTTTTGTGAACATGTTAGTTGCCAAGTGAAAGGATACTACACCAGAGGTGACCTTAACTTTGCAGTCGTCCTTGGTGCTTGCCCTGCTTGGTAAGCGCATTAAACCTTTCCCACCAAGCCTTGAACATATTCAGTAAAGTCCTTAATTCACCTGGACTATTATTTGCAGGGTTTTGATAATCTTTACTACTTAACACTATTTTTTCAAAAATCATATGCATAAAATGTAATGGACTCCTCTGATTTTTAATGCATTAATGTTCAGCTCTTGCTGAGATATTTGATACAAGTACTAAAAATCAGTTGAGTCTCACACAAAACTGCTGTGTGCACCAGACTACCTGTTGCGATATAAGTCCAAATCAAATCAACATTTACTAAACAAAGAATAAAATGATAAATTTATTCAACCCATAAGAATCTTCATATTGAGTACAAGAAACTTTACAATGAAAAAGCATAGAGACAAGACAGCTAGCCTGCAAGCTCGATGATAGCTGCACAACTACGGATGGCGACATTTAAGCTAAAAGTGAAACTAGGAACAAACAATCTACAGAGATTGATATATTTATCTTATACCATTACATAGGTAAACTAGGACCTGATTTTAATCACTTCCAATCTAACATGTCGAGCAACCAAAGGACCTCAGTCTCATTATTTGCAGCATCACAAAAGTCCATTTCAATGCCAAAAACGTTTGCCACCTCATCATTCTCAGCATCGGCAAATAACAATGAAACCCATGCTCTAATACCCGATATGAAGGGGTGTATGGGGGAAAAGTCAAGATAATCAAATGCAAGGGCCCGAAAAGATGTCCAATTAATATCATCAAACATCGCTTTATTAACTATACAGGCAAATTTGCTGGAATCCCTACGTCCAACCAACACAGAGACACTCACTTTCTGCCCCAACGGCACAGAAAACCTGGGTTCCACGGGCAACATCATCTTGTAATCGGGGCCTTCTAGACGGTATCTAAGAATGTTAGAAATTCCAGTAGGCAGAGTTTTTATGCCGCCATGCAGAACTAGGCCTGAGAACACTTCTGAAAATATTGACTGGCCTTCAGCCCAAATGTCAATGTAGAAGTCCAAATCATTGAAGGACAATCTTGAAGGAGGAAGAGCCTGGTGCCGCCGGCGCTTGTAAAAGGTCCCATAGAGTTTATAGTACGTGACTGTTGATGGTGAAGGTCTTTTACATAGAGAAGGCCATCTCCTAGCACATAAGCATTTCCAAAGATAATCATCTTGCGCAATGTCTCTCCACTGCTTGCAAACTAACATACAAGAAGCAAGGTCTACACCATCAAGTAGAGGAAAGACTGCCTTTAAAACAACGCATGTCATCTTGTCACGTGATTTATGATAATAAGGCACTGGAGGGTTGTAGCAGAAGTCAGGTCCACGCTGAACATTGCATAAACACCAGATTTTAGTATATAGAGGTTTCTCAACATTTTCAGCATCATAAACCAACCAGTGACTGCATAGCAGAAAATTCAATGACCAAATTGAAATTATAACCAAGGAGATGTATTAGCTAGCACCAAAACAACATAGTTAACAATCCAACAAATGCTTGATAAATCTCAAACAAAGGAATCAAAGGCAGAAAACACTAGACGACCTTTAGAATCATAAATTAATACTTTGTATAGCATTTTATAGCAAAGTGAAATTTCATGAACTTAGAGAGATAAATCTCATACTCAATGCTTCTTTTAGATTGAAATTCTTTCACAATAGCATATGAACTTTGTGTAAATTTTGAAGCATACTATGTATTTAGAAGAACAGGTAAAAGTGGGAAATAGTAGGACCTGCAGTACTCAATTAGGAACTTAACTAGCAGCCAAAAAAGGAGTAATATCAAGATTGATATAGTACAATCAATACCACTATCACACTGATACTATATTCTAAAATGTTTAGCCACAACATATAGTACTTGCATATGCTATACCAATTTATAATCGTTGTAGATGTTTCAAACCACTAACGTTCAGAAACAATCTCCTATGCTTAGAGCTAAAGCTGTGAATATTCTAAATCTAAAATCCTCAAGGATCCATATTATCGTTTGTAACATAGTTGGTAAGGAGATTTGGGCAATCATAGAAATGTTTCTATATGTCATATGAATGGCTTAGTAATACCACTAAATGCCTAGACACACCTGAAAGAAAGTCTTGTCTACAGATCTGTGCAACATGGATATACAGTACTTAGAACAACAATCAGGGACGATTACCTTAATAACCGGTAGGTGGGCTAACTGCTAAGTCATTACTTCCCTAATCTTAATAGGTTTGACTATTTTTTGGAATAATGCAGAACGATCTTTTCACACTTCCTCTCAAAAGGGACTTGTTCACGTATTAAACCATCTAAGCCAGTAAGCCTTAGTTACAACAACATACATTCAATTAAGATAACACTTTTTCCATTTCCCTTTCACTTACTTCTGTCCACTAATTTATTTCTTTTTACCTCAGATACTACAATTAAATATTTTTCTGGTACAGCTATTCTTAACATGATTTATTCAATTGCTGCATCCAACCGCAAAGCTACAGCTTGGTGAAATTCGATAAGCATTCCATGAACCACGGAAACACTCACATTCACATGTATAAATCAAGAAGTTGCTAATCTAATGAGGAACTTCAATATCCCAAAGCTAAGATATACAAACCATACGCCTCGAAATAGTTCGGTTGAACAAAGAATCCGAAAATTAACGAAACTATAGAGGATAATTCTATGGAAATCAAATAAAAATCACCATCATATTGACAATTAATCATAGAATACAAATAATCATATGAATTTTCCGATTGCAATTCATGCAATCAATAAGTTCCAATTCATTGTTCATGAATACATCAGGTAACTGAAATTCTCAGTCGCAATCCAAATTCAAAAATCAAATTACAATTTGGGTTAAATCAGATATGAACTCCCCATTTACAGTAATTACAAGCTTGATTTCTTATGGAAATCAAATAGAATCACTATCATATTGACTATTAATCATAGAATACAATTTAATACTTATGTCATTTGCAAAATCAGAAATCTGGAAAATGCTGAACAAATTAAAAGCAAAAAATTACATACCACAATCTAAGAGCAGAATTGCCAATTGCCACTACGAATTAAAGGGCTCCTCGGATTGAAATCGCATAACAGTACCCAGAAAATCAAGTTTGCAACCCAAATGGGAAACTAGGGTTTATAGAAATTGCCTCTGAATTATATACTCGGGTCTTGAAAAAAAATTAAAAGGGGTAATTGATTGATTTGCAGGAGAGCTTTTGGCTGTTGATCGATAAATGGCCAAATTTTGGTTAGAGGGTTCAAATTCAAAATAATTAGTTAATCACCCACTAGTCACTACACACTACCTTTTTTTTAATAATTAGTTAATCATTTTATTTTGGAAAATTTTCTCTGATAACCTCCAACTTTTATTTTTTCCTCAGTCTGAAACTTTTGATTAGCAATGATAATCACCAATTAATATTATTAAGCAAATGGTAACTTAACTTAAGCAATTTGTTAATTCCTTAACTATGGTTTAGATATTAGATGCAAAAAGACACAATTACCCCTAACCAATTCTTTCTTCATCCTATTTTTTGAAAACCTTTCTTCTTCCTTAATCTTTCCTCCTCCCCGCTACACCTCCGGTCAGCAGCCGCCGCATCCCCCGCCCCAACGGACCTCCTCCCCCCACTCATCCAGCCACCAGCCACCTCCTCCCTCTGTCGATCGGCGTCGAGCCTGCCCCACCTCCGGACGGCCAACACAGCAAAACCCAGCAAATTCAACGGCAAAACCAAGCAAAAACCCCCTATTCTAGAGCAAATCTAAGCATAAACACCTTTTTTTTTTAGCAAATGTAAGCCAAAACCCCCCATATTCGAGCAAATCTAAGCCATAACCCCTCTTTTCGAGCAAAATCGACCCAAAACCCCCTAAAATACCCTCAATTATGCAAATAACGATTCGAATAGCTGGTAATTTCACCTCAAAACCATTGAAATTTCAACCAAAAATCGGGGGAAAGTGAGGGAATCGGCGAAGGAGATGGAATCGGGGAAAGAAAGGGAATCGGGGAAGGATTTCAGAGGGACTCGAGCAAGGAAGGTGGCTAATTCCGGCGTCCCTGAGAAGCGGTTTTGGTGGTGATGAGAGGAGAAAGAGGATGGGTCGAGAACAGGGGGAGGGGTGCTCGTTTTGGGATTCAGGTGTCGGTGGTGGAGTCTCCGGTGGGGGAACGTGTCAAGACACCGTCAGCCGAGCCGAGCTGAGCGCCGGCAAAGGAGGGGAGCTGGCGGTTGGCTGGTGGATGGGAGGGGTTTGGAATTTTTTTTGTTTTTTTTGTAAAAATAATTTGAAGGGTATTAATGTAAATCTATTGTAACTTAACCTAAGATTAACCATAGTTAACTGCTTAATGATGTTTTATTATCATTAATGTTACCATTTGTTTAATATTATTAATTGGTGATTACCATTAATAATCAAAAGTTTTACAATTTACCACTGAGAAAAAATAAAAGTTAGTGGTTATCAGTGAGAATTTCCCTTTTATTTTTAGTATCGTAATCGTCAAAGTAATCTAATTCTTGAATTGTAAAATTATAAAAGGTGGTTAGGGGCGAATTCAGTTTTCTTCAGGTGCCGTTATATCATTTTTGTCAGGGCACACCAATAAAAGGAAATTGCTATAAGCATTAAATATACTCTTGAAAATTGTTTAAATTTAAAAAATCATAACAAAAACACACTAATTACACTGATTTATGCGTGTTTTTGTCATAAATTTTTAATTTTATACAATTTTCAAAAGTGTTTTGCTTATATATAGCCCGTATGCATCACTCTTAATAAAATATACGTTAAGCTGATTTAAACAATATCTCACTTAACTATGAGTTATTGTAGCTATAAATCATAGAAGCTGGTCAAAATATAATTTATGAATAATGTAAAAGTCAAATGATGTCAACTAAAAAAGCGGAGGAAGTATAATGAATTAATAACATGTGTTTTAAGAAAAAAAAAAGTGACACAGATGGATAAATTTATTTTTTTAAAAAAAACTTCATTACAGTAAAAGTTAATTGGTTGGGGTTAATAATCTAAGGGAAAGGGAATGAGCAAGCTCAATTCATTTATTGTGGTTTGTTTGTCACTTTTTATCATTCCCTTTACCCACTTTTATTTTTCAGTTTACCCAAATCTATTTTACATTGATTCCTCTCCCCTAACATTTTCCATCCCCTTTTCTTAGCCATCACACCACCACCGCCCTCTTACCTACCCCTGTACATCGGAAAATCATGCCATCGCACTGCCGCTCTTCCCCAACCCTTCGCCGCACCTCCCTTTCCTGTTGCCGAATAGGGTTTTGAGGGTGGGAGAAGGCATGACCAATGGTTTTATGGGGAGAGGGAGGATTTTTTAGGGATTTTTGGGGTTGTGGAGAGGTTTTTCAAGGGATGGAGATCTTTGCGGGCGGTGACAAGGGTCAGGTGTGGTGCTGCGAGCGACGGTGAGGGTCAGGGGAGGTGCGGCGAGTAGTGATTTGGTTGGGTGGTGGCTTGAAAAGTTAGGAAGTAAAGGAAATAGGTGGTTGTGGGTGGTGATATGGTAGTGGAATTGGTGGTTTGTTTCCTTTGGTTTTTCAAAACAAACAACAAATAGCAAATGCAAGGCTTTTCATTCCATTTTTTTCCCCTTTGTTCATTCTAGTCCGTTTAACCCGTGCAAACCAAACGCCCCCTAAGATCATTTGGAGTAGCCTTTGATTTATGTACTATTATATGAATATTCTATTAGATTTGCTTTAATTTATACTTTCATACTATCAAATTTACCTAATGTTTACTTATTGATAATTATTTTGACAGGCTTAAAAATAATTTAAAATACTCCTTCCATGTTTTAATAAGTGTTACACTTCTATTTTTTGCAAATAGGTACATTTAAATATAATATATCTCTCTTCTAATGGTCCCCACCCAAACCACTACTACATTTTTTTATTATTCCTTTCCTCTCACATTCATTACTTTTTTAATAAATTATTATCACCACTATATTTCTTTTACAATTTTTTTATACTTCAACTATCCCACTTAACTCTTATTTTATTTAAGTCAATTCTTAAAACTATGTGCCGCTTAAAGTGTAACACTTATTACAACACAGAGGATGTACTAATGATTGAATAATGTATTGGCAAACGTGAAATAAGATTTCAATTTTAGTGAAACCAAGGAAATACTTTTTTTTAAAAAAAAAATAAAATTGGGTGCAATTCTTTTGGAGTAATAAACATCTAATATCCTTATTACTTACTATTTACCTTTTCATCTTATTGATGTTTAAATTAAAACAAGAATGAGAGCTAGACTCCTTAATTTTCTAGTTTCAATGGTTAGATTACTAGCGTAAGCTATGGCTATTCATGAAACATAACTAAGCAAAAGTAAGAAAGATTATTAATGATGTAATGAACACTTAATTAAGACTATGTTCTTCACTGGATTGTGGCGCAACTGACTTTTTTTAGAAATTAGGCATTTGTCCATGTGTATGTTCTAAGTTCCAACTTTATCAAAATAATTTGATAAGTTGTTTATGTTCAATGTTACAAGTTAATAAAAGATGAAGGAAGTATGGTGTAAACTTATAAAACTAGTGATATTACAATTTATGAATCAAATAAGGTAAACTATTAAAAAAAAACTATTTCTATAGCTATATATTGCAACAATAAAATAAGTACAGAGTTTAAGGAAATGTATGTCAGCAACTTTTAGTGATTTGGCCGAGTCAAGATAGAATTTGTAGTCTAATAACATAATATTCCTCTTTTAGATAATTCCATCAATCTCCTCTCGCTCATGTGCCCAATCTACATAAGCTACAATTGGGCTCTATTGACGAGGATAACACTTATGTCAATCCTCATCTGTCAATAATAATCAAGTAAACCCATAAAGTGAAACACTTTCTATTTTTTTTTTTTTGTCTTTCATCATAACTTCATCGAGCACCCATATATATCACCCTTTAGTCACCCTTTAAAGGAGTTCACTGGCCATCATTGTTTTTCGAAGTACCTAATGAAATTAAGCTCTTAGTCATAATGCAAACACATGACTACATATGTAGACAACTACTTTTGGCCTCCTGTCCCGACATGAAGTGCTATGACAATAAATAAAACCATTTTCGTGTTGGATCAACACGAAGAATACTTATTGATAACTGATTGAATCACCAAGGACACAAAAATGACTAGTCTAACCCAAAAACAAATGAAATAAGGTCCAATTAACTAAGTCCGATCATAATAAGGCTTAATACCGAGGTTAAAACCTAATTATTACGGATTTAGAGGCGCCTAGGTTAAAACCTAATTATTACGGATTTAGAGGCGCCTAGGTTAAAAATCAATGCTGCCGTAGAGAAATCCACGCGCATCTCAATGAGTCGCGCTGATCTGGCACGCGCAACCTATTCAGTTGTGCGCATCACCCAGCGCAACTGCTAGTGATGCGCTAGCGGAAGATTCAGAATTTCCTAAAAATATAAAATCGAATCTTACATAATACCGCGCGCAAGATCATCAGTTGCGCTGCCCAACGCAGCGCATCTTAATCACTTGCGCTGGGATGTCGTGTGCAACCTATTCAGATGCGCGCGACACCTGGTGTGGCAGAATGCTCAAAACCATAAACGCACCCACTCCCTATAAATAAAGTCTTAATACGAGGCTCAAATAGATAGAAATTAACCTAAGAACTCTGGCAGAAACTTTGTGAATTTATGAACTATCAAACCCCTCTTGTCCTAAACACTCAACCCCTCAATACTTGTTACTACAGTGGAGGTTCTCGAACAAGAAGGAGTCCATAAATGTTCTAAACGAAGATCTAGCAAAAAGAAGTGGTAAATTCTCAAGCACTTAGATTAATCACATTATTTTCTTGTTTAAAATAACTTTAATTAATTAATTAGTGTTGTTTGATCACTTTAAACGAACTTTTAATTAATTAATTCCACATAGTATCTTGCGTTAAATAAAGAATAGAATTGAACAATTAATTGTTAATTGGTCACTTAAGCCAAGGAGAATCTTGTTTATTTTTGTTCTTTTCATGAATATTGATTGAATAAGAATAACGACTTTTGCAATGTAATTCCTACGTGATTGACGCGTGTAAATAAAATCAACTAACTTAGTTTTTAGGTATCATGTGGCATATATTGTTTGGTGATGAAATTGTGAAAAAAGAAGAGCTAGTAGAGACCATACTAGGACTAAGATAGTGATTCCCCTCTAAAGGGAACGTTATCTTAGTACCCTCACTCCCGAACTCATTTGTGTTTTATGTAGACCAATTTGGGCATGGGTAAACTTACGATTCGTAATAAATATTCCTTGAACCCTACTTGGGAGAAAGGCATGAACGAGGTTTATGAGTTTTCCTAAAATTCATTGGCGACTCCTACTTGTTTCTTACAGAAAGAGTGATGATAGGATACATTCTAATTCAAGGTCCCCCAAACAGTCAGGAATTCAAATCATATTACACCCTAACAAGTGTAAAGTCCTAGGCTTTTAAAGGGTCATGGACATTGAAGAAGAAAGATCCTCTACGATGGGAACACCCTCCTTACAACATATCTGCAAGAACATCTTTTCAAATATAACCATCTCTCTTCAATATTCGGATGAGAAGCGACTATTGTGTGAGGCAAGGCGCAAAACAACAAACCCATGCCAACAAAAAATAATATCAACTAAATGATAGCTAATACCAGCTAACATATGGATGTTATCATCCAACACCTAACTAATATCAACTAACATATAACTAATATAAGCTAAGAAGTGACTGATATCATCCAACACCTAGTTGATATCAGACAACAAATGGTTATAATATCATCCACTAATATCAGCTTACATATGAATGCTATCATCCAACACCTAAACAATATCAGCTAACATATGAATAATATCATCCAACAGCTAAATGATATCAGCTTACATATAGTTGATATCATCCAACACATAATTAATATAAGCAAACAGATGATTGATATTTGATGGGCGTTAGAACGGTCGCACATTCCACACTCAATCAAACTCACTTATAAACAAATATCCTACAAACCAAGCATAATGACAAGTAAGAGTTCGGTCCACAAGGAACGAGATATGGTTGCTAAAGATCTTAACACTTAAGCTAATTCGAAGTCATTGGTGAATTGGGGGTTCGTCAAGTAGACAAAAAAAATTATGGTTCTAAAGTATTGTATTAAAGACACTAGGGAATGGGATTTACTCAACCAAGGCAATTACGCAAACGGGGAGTAAAATAGACAAGATATAGAAAGGACTATATGTAAGATCAACCTCATGCAATTAGAAAACAACTCACACTACTAAATTTAGATTCCTCATTAGTTTAGCAATAGAAGATACATAATCAAATTGCAATAAGTACAGTAATTCCATGCTTCATTCATATTTCCATGTAAAACTAAGCATACCATGCTATCAAGCTTATAAATCAAGGTTAGCTAATCCTATCATGAAGAACTAACAAGCAATC